AATCAACACATTGTGACCTAAAAGCGTCAAAGTCATGCATTTGATTTTCAAAAAAAAGTGGCAAGAAACCTAGCCTCCTGGCTCTATGAAGATGGGAGTTCGGTGGGCAAGATAAATTGGAGTGTCTTTTATTAGCCATCGTTACATTGAATTGTTTTCATTCTTAGATTGTTTGCTATTTGAAATAAACTGACCTGTTAGTATATTGTCTAGTAGTGACAGTCAAATACGGAGACCAAATTGAGTATCAGAAGGACAAGAGCTCTACCCGTCCCCGCCAACGCTAATATCATGCAGGGTTGAATTGGCCAGATTTGGTCCAGCTGAACAAGCTCCTAGATGTGATTTTGTTTTAAACCAGAGGTTACAAACTGGCTTTCTGTGGGCCCTGTTCTGCCTAGAGATGGATTTGTTTGGTTTGCACTAAGCTCTGAATCAACTGCCATTATTTACAGTTCTAGAGATTTTATAAAATTCAGAAGCTCTAGCAACACTCAGCTTCAACTGAATAGTGGATATATTTTTTCCTTTTTTATTTTGTAGAGATGAAGTCTCACTATGCTGCCCAGGCTGGTCTTGAACTCCTGGCCTCAAGCAATCCTCCTGCCTTGGCCTCCCAAAGCATTGGGATTATAGGTGTGAGTCATTGTGCCTGACCATGTATATTCTTTTTTTGATGGGGTATTTCCTTGCCAGCTTGCCACTAACTCACTCACTTGGCTGCTTTGCTCATTTGCATCGACTTCCTGGCCCTTTTAGGCGTTTGCATTTTCAACCCATGCTTTAAAGGGACAGATATCTCTGGTCCTGAGATCCAAAAAAGAATAGGGTATAGTTTTTTTTTTGAAAGACCTCCATGGTTTCTCACATCAGGTCTTTGCTCTAGTTGCTGCTTACGCCAGCAGTTGGAAGCAGAACATCAAGTCATACTTGGTCTAAAGCAGATGGTGGGCTTTCCCCTCTCCTTTATACAGGGGACTTTGTGCAAAGTTGCATTACAGATGCACACTTTAAAGCTATTGCTGTTGTATTGGATGGTGGTTCTGCCAGGGCACAGACACCCATGGCTTGAGTTTACTGCTGATTGTAGCAACTTTATTGGAAACAAAAGCTTATAGACAAAAAAGAATCAGGAAAAATTATTTCTTCTAATTTCCAATGGAAGTAGGATTTTTCCCTGCATCTACAATGAACAGAAACAGCACATAGAACAACACTGACATTATTTGCATCTGACTGATGTCTTTGAAAAAGAGCTGGCAAGTTTTAAGTTATCCTTGGGACACAGAATTGTTTTTGCATTCAAGCCCGGTATACACAGCTTTGTAGCGAGTGAGCATTGAATTGTTCTATAAGATTCTCTACAAACAGTGGAGCTTGACTGCGATGAAGTGATGTATTGAACAAGGTAGCTTTGATAGGAAATGTACTGACACCTTCCCATCACATCTTGTTAATATTTAGAGTTCATTACGACTTAGGGTCTCTTAGGTTCTGCCAAAGAAATCTCACCACTCAAGAAACCATTATATTCTGGTTTTTTTTTTGTTTTTTTTTTTTTAACCTACTCAGAGGTCCTTTAGACCAGAGCCCTGAAGATGATGTCAGAACAAGGGAAATGTTTGTGAAGTACATTTCTACCTTTAGCTTTTAGTCTTTCGGGATAAAAGAGCCACAGAAAAAAAGGATACAAAGGTGAGCCGAGTCATGGACAGCAGGGGTATATACGAGACGTCAAATCAGATTTGGAATCCCTTATTCTCCTATTTTCCCTCCAAAGCTTCCCTTTCCTTTTACAGGCCACAAACGCATTGAACTTTGAATTCCCACAGCTTCACCTCCCTTGTCAATTTCATCTAACTCCAGTTAGATTTCTGTCTTTTCCTTGCTCAGGATTTGTATAGGAAGCTTGGATTTGCTGGGAGATAACATTGCTCTGAATGGGGCTGCTGGATTATTTGGCTCTTAGCAGATTTTAGAAAATGAAACTAAGTTGTCCTTACTCATGTGCAACTTTTCAGCAAGTCCAAATAATAAAAGTAAATTCAGTTTACAACATGAAGTTACTGCTTGTTGGTCTGAAAGCCTTGTCAAAGAGGTTCTCACAGTGGCATATTTAATTTATACCATTTACATTTTGTTGTCATTTTCCTGTTTTTAAATTTTTCCCCCTTCTTGATGTACCTTTTTTTTTTTTTTTAAATGAAACGTCCCTGAGTGGATACAGTGCAACATCTGCATCAAGCAGTGATTGTCATTTACGAAGCATGAGTGAAAAGTATAGATCACAGATTTTTTTTCTTCCAGTGCACACTGATCATGAGTGTGTTGTGAAACATTTGTTACTTCTCATGGGGAAGGGACAAAGTGCTGGGATTGAGTGTAAAGAAGGTTGTTTTTACCAAAATCTCAAAATACCTTGACAAATGACCATAAGAGATGTTCAAAGAGCAGCTTTTTAAGGCTTTGTTACCATTGAAAATATGACTTGATTCTCTTTTAAAGAAAGTTTGGGCAACTGTGGTCAAACTAGAAATTTCTTCTTTCAACGGAAGTGGACTGAGTATGTACTGGTTTCCGTTGTTTTGTTTTGGTTTGATCACTAGCTCTGCTTCCTGTGCCTTAGCTTTAAAAGGTCGATGTCATTCCAATGAAATGCTTGTACTAGTGGAAACAACACAAATTCAAAAGCAGTACCTCCCGAGGCAAATGTGGGGAACAATCTTTTCCCTACAACACCCATGGGACAAGGGAGGAAAAAATTCTCAGCCACTTCATCAATTGAGCCAGTTTAAATCCTCTAAGGTAAATTGGAGGAAACAAAATGATTCCCTTTGCAACTGAGCAGGAGTTACAGGCTGACAATGGAAAACGCTAGGCCAACAGAACAATGAAAACAAAGTTTGACATAAGTTCAAAGCTCAAAGGGAAACACCAAGTAGACACATTAAGCATCGCCTATCACAAGCCAATCATAAAACATACATTGCATTTGGAAACTTGGTTTAATTGAGTGCCTTCCATTACCCTGTTTTCCTAGCAATCAGTAAAGTAATCTTTCCATTAGAAGGAAATATGACTCTTGGAATTAATTCTTTATACAAAGAGCTAGCAGGAGTGACATTTACACCAAAAAGAATTGAGTCCCTGTAGCAGCATAATAAGCAGTCTACAGCTGTCTTCTTAGAACCAAAGGTAATTTGGTTCAATGTAGTTAAATTAATTGAATATAACGGTAGTTGAGAAAGAGATTCATTATTTTAAAGCCTTTTTGTTTTTCCCCATTGGATTAGAATTCATCAATCATGAGGTGAGAAAAAGCTCCGTTTTCTAAAAGGAAAAGACTAACACTACTGTTTTGATCATCAATCAGGAGTTCTGAGGCATCTTGGAGATGGCTCTAACCATGAACTTCAGGAGAGCATAAGAGATTAAAAAAAAAAATCAAAGTTTCCACCGATGGAAACTTTACAAAGCAGTTGTGTGTGTATGTATATGTGTGCATGTGTGTTTGACAAGGAGAAAAGGGCAAGTCTTTATGAGTTCGTGGCTGGGCTACACTTATAAGAGATTATAATTTTCATTGTGTTATAGACGAACTTCTCTTAGCTTGTTCCCTTAAAAAAAAAAAGTCTTAATTTGAATCACATAATACTAACGGCATAGGCCTCCAGGACATAGGCAGAACAAACACCTTGGAATTAATGCTTTTCTGATGATTAATTTTACTGAAGGGCAGGTGGAAAAGTGAGAACTTGTACAAGAAAGTCCAAAATCTCTGATCCTAATGTCACCCTTGTGTTCGATGCTTTTAAAAGTTGCTAAAAAATAATCCTACAGTAGACACATGATGTAATTTCAAACTGCATAGAAATTAGTTTTGGCTTTGTGGTATATTAGTTCTATAGAATAACATAGATATTTTTTCTAATCTGTTGAGTTTTTCCTATATTTTTATAATATAGCATTTTGGAGTTGAAAAAAAAATTAGGTGTCCCAGAGAAGAAGGACATAAAAAAATTCTTCCTCTCCCTTATTGCTGCTTTTTCTGACAAATGTATTAAAGAGAAATAATATAAATAATTACTTCTTTACTTTGTATCTTCTCTTTCTACCTCTTCTTTGCCAAAACATAGAGAGAAGATGTTTGCATGAAATAACATTGGGTCCCTGGGTTCCAATTTACTCTTTTACTCAAATTTTTCTAGAAAAATTGCTGGTGGTCATAATCCACAGACTATATTTTTCAGTTGAAGACATAGTAATTAAGCACCAAAATAAAATTTCTTTTGCAACTGAAAATCTAAAGAAAGAAATGTTTTATGTATTCCAGTGAAAAGCAGAAAAATTGGTCAAAAAAATCTTGAACCTTAACAATATTATCTGTGGCCTAATTCTTGAAACAGGAAAATGGCTCCAAATAACTTTTTCCTTCAAATATGTACCATCTTGACAAGGCTTTGATGTCACTGACAGAAATAGAGTTCTTATACAGAGGCTGTGCATTATATTTATTCCTTTGTAGATTTGTTTCTGAATTGGTACCGTCCTGCCATTGACTACAGATGGAAACTCTGGCTGGGAAAACAAAATCCTGATTGTCTAACATAAAGGTAACATATAACACAGAAGGTAAATAATATAAGAAAGAGAGCCTGACTGAACCTCCATTTTGCTAGTAGGTATGGTATTTAAGCCACAGTGCATGTGCATGTATAAGTAATAGTCATATATAATATTGTCACATATTATATACTTATTACATACATGCACAGTACTTCCCAAGACAGCTACAAATTTACACATGCATTAACTATCTAAAAACATAGAAATAGATAAGCCTATTAAGTGAAATTTTCTTAAATTATATTTGAACAATCAACAGGAAAAGTTATCATGTAAAGTACCGCTCTGTTCTCGTATATATCTACAATAAAATTCTATAAACAGTTGTCTCCCAAAACATACCCGAATAAAATTAAAAAAAGGATAACACCCAGTGTCCTATATTTGTATATTTATGGTCATTTCAAAAACAAACAAACAAATAAAAGAGCCCCACTCAGGTGCGTATTTACATTCTTCAAACTGTAGCGGTGAAAAATAATTCTATTAAGTGCAGGACATTCCTAATGTTGTAGTGACATTTCTCTTAAGTCTTCATGAACACATTGCTTTTGTCTTAATGGTGTGCATTCCATGACTATGAGACAGTTCTCTTGTCCCCTTCATTTGCAGACGGTGGCACAGTCAGGATTAAAGAGCTCCTTGTATAACGGAGGAAACAGTGTATTCACTATGTCTGGATGAGATTGCTTAAATACCTGCAGCTTCTCCCCGTGCAAGTTGCAAACTGCTGTGATGGTTGGTATCTTGGCTATTAACTGCAGAACGGAGAGACAAGGAGGGAGACAAAAAAGGGAAGCTCATTAGTGCGCTAGCTTCTGATTCCGTGTCCTTTCCGGCCCCAGAGGAAGGTAAATGCTTTGGAAAAAGATGTTGGGAAAGAAAGCAGGCTCACTTTCAGCTTCTCTTTTAGAACAAATCAAAACAAAACACCTCCTACCCTACTCCATTGCCTAAAGAAAAAAATATATAAAGAAAGTAAGCAAGCAAGACCTGATTCATTGTTCTTAAATAAAGTCTTGTGTGAGGGATGGTCTAGTTTAATGGTTACAAGTGGGTGCTCTGTAGGCAGGCTGCCTGAGTTCCAAAACAGCTTAATGACAGTGGGGCTGTGACGTAGGTTATGTCTCAGTTTTCTCACTTGTGACACGGGCTTACTAAGTACCTACTCCACTGGGTCGTTGTGTGGACTGAACAAGGTAATTCTCATTAAAGTGTTAAGAACCCTGTAGGCATGAAGCATCAGTGTTAGCTAACGTTATTTTTATCCATCATTTCCTGCAGATTTTTGTGACATATTAGGTTTTTAGCTCTGGAAGGTGACAATGTTAGGAAAGTAAAACCAAACTGCAAGAGGTGTGATCCATAATGATTTCAGTTGCTTGGCTGTCAAGCCTACCAGACCCACTCATGTCTCTATAATCCCTTTCCATTATAATGCATAAGATGAAACCTATGTTTCAACAACAGATTTTGGGAGGCCACTGGCAACTTAGCTTCCTTGGGGGAGGTGTTTAAAATGAGTGGGAGAATATCCACTTATAATTGTTAGGTTTTGATAGATATGTAACATTTAGGGTGTAATTTTTTGAGCTAAAATATACAGAAGACAGTGTTTTATAATTTAAAATGTCCGTAGTTTGCTAAATGCCATATAGGTCTTAGGAGATGAACAATTACAGCTTTTAACATACTTATAGTTAAGAAACATTTTGAGTCCCTCATTTAGTGTCAAATCAGCTTAAGTAAATGTTATTGTGATCAAATTGCTATGAGAAAATACGCTCTTGTACAGAGAATGCTCTTATGAAAGATTAGCATAGTTTGTATCGCTTACTAAAGATACACTTGAAAGTGATGTTAAAATACAATTAAATACAACCCATCTCATCACCTGGTAGGCTCATCCTGCTCTCTACCCTGTTCGATAAGAAGCACACATTTCAGCCTTTGAAGTAAGAGAGGAAATAGATAATTAGTTACTTTGTGGTTTTTAAAAATCAGAAATTTCCACTCTTTCATTAATTTTCCTTTTATCAACTAATGACTATATAACCACACTATGAGCGATTTAAAAAGAACATCAGGATTAGAGCTGTTGACACATTCATTAAAGGGATCCAGAATACGTAAAGAAGTTTGGGGTTCAGACTATCTTAACTATCTCTACTGCTATTTAAAGATAGAGATAGGAATGAAAAACACGGAACTTTTGTCTCTAGAATGATATCAAATTTTAGACTGAAAAACAGACTTTCTCTCTAACATTACGAATTAACTTTTTTTCCTTCAGGACACTCCACGATGATGAACTGCATACCTACTATGTAGCAGGCACTCGGCTAGACACCAGAACGTGCAAGGCAGTTATGGCTCTTTCTTGTTTGTAGTCTACTTGAGGAGATCACATAGTGAAAAGCAGACTGAAAAATTGGCGAGTGCCACAGAAGGATGGTGTGAGGAGAAGTGTTTAGGTAAGAGGATGCCCTGACTTCTTGTGACTGGCCCGGGAAAGCTTCCCTGAGAAAGTGACATTGAAGCTGAGTTCTGACGGAAGAGTGGGAGCTAACAAGGTGCAGGGGCAGAGGGGACATAATTCACTCCAGGATGATATGAGAAGGCAGTGTGGTGCTTGGTGCACTGGCAGGACCAGAGGCAGGTCGGGTGCACTGAAGTGATGGGTAAGGATATTGCCGGAGAGATGCACTCGGCCGGATTATATAAGCCCTCACAGTTGGTTGTTGGGAAAGTTTTCAGCAAAAGAGAAAGAGGATCCAGAATACCATTCTGAAAGACTCACTTCCGGTCCAGGGTGGAAAATTGTGTCTTTTCTATATTTTCATAGGTACAGAGTGTACAAGTGTCCACTTGACTAGAGTCCCTTGGGAAATTATTCAAGCTCTCTTAACCAGCTGGCTCACACAGAAGGAGACGACAACAATTTAGGAGCAGTTCTTGCACATTACAAGCTGTTGAACGCAGAGAGGCTTTGAAATAGCTGTCGAATGCAGAGAGGCTTTGAAAGCTTTCTACAATCATCTGCAGATGAATTGATGATATTCAGGGCTCCTGAAACTTCCAGATGCAACCCTATAACGACTGTCAATTTTCATGTGCCTAAGAGTCACAGAGATGTTTCTTAAAAGTGCAGATGACAGGGATCTACGCCTAGGGATTCGGTTTCAGCAGTGAAGCACAGCCTCCATATTTGAAATCAACATGCCCTGCAGATACCGACGTGGTGGGTTCATGGGATGAACTTTGAGAACCACCGCTTCAGAGGTTCAAATTTTATAAATTGACAATTGTTTTTCAAAATGAGAAGTTGAGCTGGGCACGGTGGCTCACATCTGTTAGTCCAGATACTCTAAAGGCTGAGGTGAGAGGACTGCTCGAGGCCAGGAGTTCAAGACCAGTCCGGGCTACATAGAGAGACCTTGTCCCACCACCGACAAAAAATTGAGAAGTAAATTCTACACCGTATGTGAAACAGTTCTGTGAGCTGAGTGTTAAGTCAGCACCTTTTTGGGAGGCAGACAAAGAACTTCTCATGTGCAGAGAGGGAAGTTTCTACTCACTTAGTTCTATTAGTTTGGTGAGAGGCGTGTCATGAAATTCCTGAGTCTGACACACCAACAAATACCGTGACACACAAATACTACATAGAGAAGATTAGCCTGTTGACTGTTGTTTTGGAGTCAGGCTGCCTAGGTTTGAATCCTAACTCTGCATTTTATAGCTATGTTATCTTGGGCGAGTCATTTAACCTCTCAGTTTCCTTATTCGTCAGATGGCAGTTTTAACAGTGCCTGCCTCAGAGGGAGGTTGTGAGGATTCAATGAGTCAACATATTTACAGTGGTGCCTGGCGCAGAGTGGTGACATATGTGGTAGCTGTCATGCTTCCATTCCCACATCATGCTTCTTCCTTCAAGGGGAGAAGCAGTCAAGCCATGCTTCTCAGCCAAATGACATGGAGAACAAGAAACCAGCTTAGGTCTTAACCAGGCACCGAAAATGGTGTCTCTGTATATCGTATGCTAATGCATGGGAAAATCAGCTATATTTTTATTAAAGTGAAAAAGCAAAATCAGATTGATTTTTCATTTTCTTGTGGCAGTTGAAGCCAGTTGTTCATCTGATTAGCTATCATTCAAAAAATAGAATCATCTGTACTACAATTCTTGTGTGTGTGTGTGTGTGTGTGTGTTGGGGTCTCACTCTGTCACCCAGGCTGGAGTGCAGTGGCACAATCACGGCTCAATGCCACCTCAAATTCCTGGGCTCAAGTGATCCTTTTGCCTCAGCTTCCCAAGACTGCAAGCACATGCCTCCAATCCTGGCTAATTTTTTTGATTTTTTTTTTTGTTTGTTTAAAGACGAGGTCTCGCTATGTTGCCTAGGCGGGTCTTGAGCTCCTGGGCTCAAGCAATCTTTCCGCCTCAGCCTGCCAAGGAGCTGAGATTATAGGCATAAGTCACTGCACCCAGGCTCTGTATACCACAATTCTTAAAGCATTTATGTGTTCCTGAAAGCATTTTTATGTTCCTGAGAGGATGGTGTGGGAAATTAAATGTACATGAGAATGATTGAAACCCCTCTATAGTTAGTTCATTGGTGCTGGAAATATTTATATGTGTTCGGCTTTGAAAAGTGGATATAGACTCTTGCTGTTTTCCTGAAAAAGAACGAAGGTTTGAGAAGAGTCTGGTTTAGGCCCCAGTTCTGTCCTCTTTTATAAGATCTAGATTCTGCTGCTTATCTGCAGAATGAGCTGAAGGGTGAGAATTGCTTTCTGCTGAAAAGCACCCAGACCACTTCAGCAAAGGGCTCTGAGAAGGGCGAAGAGCTTCCCTTGCTTCTATGCTCTTGGAAGAGGCTGACTGCAAGACACCCAATCAGCTGTGGAAAGAGAAGTGCTGACAGGGACATCCATCACTCTAGAGGCACGATGGGCCAGAAGGCCATGCGGAGACAGCAGCAGCACTTGTCAGAGCCCAGAAGGGCCTGGTGGAGGAAGCAGCAGGCAGTCACTTATTGCTCATTAATATTATGTACTGCAGCCGGGGGACCCCCATTTCAAAGGGAGTGCAGAGCAGCCTCAGCAGCAGTTAATGGCTCAACAACTTTTTAAACAGCTGGGGAGGTGATCCAGAAGCACTTGGAGATGGAGGGGGTAGTCAATTTTAAATCATCATGAAATTCCTTCATGTTTAAATAATCCCCACAGCAGAGGTAGACAGAGGGTCTATAAAAAGGCATTTCCACACTCATGTCTTTCTTATGACAAGCATTTCTTATAAGAAGGAAGCTTTAGCTTATACCTACAGAGGTCTACAAGAAGAAAAAGCAGCTGTTTGAGGAGAGATAATAATCCTATGCTTCTCTCTAGAGGGTGGTTTTATGAAAAAATTCACAATTTTTTAACTGGTACGTTTGATGTTGGAAAAATGGAACATGCAGACGGTGAAACTAGTGATCTTGTTCATGTGAGCTTTCAGGCCATCAAGATGCTCTCCAACCTGAAGCAGGAAGCCAGCAATGGTTTGATCAAATTGGAAGAAACTTTAGGAGCACTGATGAAAAGAGAGTACGTAAAGTGAGGATGAATATATTCATTTCATGTGTCCGTTCAATTTTCTTTTTTTTTTTTTGAGCCAAACCTAGACATGTGGATTCAAATTTGAGACACCTTTCTAGTCATAAGCCCTCCTCTCACCATCCTGACCCCATCCTTGGCATCCATGTGGTGGTGTATG